CATTATTTGTAATTTATATATATATATTCTTTAAATAGATCTAATTAAGTTTTTTAGTATTTAAAAATATTTTCTACATTAATACAATGACTCTTTTTTTTGTATTGTTTTAGTTTTAATTTTAATAATTTTTTCTTAAGTTTATCAAATTGCATACTTTGTACTCCCTCCGTTAAAAAATATAAAATATTTTTAATTGAATCTTACTTTTTAATAAAGTAATTATCTACTTATAAATTAATTCTATCTTTCTATATTTACCCCTATTAAATAATATACAATAAATATAAAGTTATTCATAAATAAGGGCAATTTAAAAAAAAAGATAATTATTATATCTCAAAAGAGTAAAAATGCCTTATATTTTTGAATATTCAACTTTTTAAAAAATATCTTATATTTTTAAACGAAGAGAGTATATGTGTGCATGTGGGAGAGACACATATATAATTCATATCCTTTTTAATTCTTTCTACCAGCCTATATCCTTTTTGGTTATTTAAACTTTCCTTTTCTTTAATGCAAACTTACTTTTTAATTATATCATCTAAATAAATTTTAATTTGTTAAATTAAATTTTTACAAAATAATATTCAAACATAAATTACACTGTGATAATTGACTTTTAACACAATTTTAGTTTGTAAACTGTAATTTATACGAAATATAGTTCTACAGACATTAATCCAAACAAGCCCGTCATCTCATTGCTTAAACAACTAACTAATCACTCAATCAATCAATTTAATTAATCAAGTCTTTATAAGATCCATTGTCTTTAGCCTTTTAACTTCGATTTTCTCTCGCGATTCAACTTTTATTTGTGTTTACTTAAATCTGTTTCCTCTTGCAATAGCCAATTCACCGCTTGGTTACATTCCATTGGATCTAGGTCAAGCACAAGTATTCCTAGTTAATCTCTTTCATTGTTTTTTCTTTTCCATGGTTTTGCATTGTGATTCTTTTAGAGTTTATCAAATCACTTATATAGTTTACATTTGATGGCATTAGCCTTTAGTTATTGTACTCCTATTCTGGAAAAACTGTGATAAAAGATTTCATTACCTTACAATTGTCCAAAAGTATGTTAGGTTATCCCACGCAGAAATTTAAAAGTACATTTACAAAGTCATTTTGATAAAAGCAGCTCAGTTATGTTTTTCTTCCACATTAAGTTTCTTGCTAATTTTTTGTCTTTTAAAATGGACATTTAAAAAATATTTTATGATGTCCAAACAATATTTTGTTAAAAAGACTTTGGAGTTTGGACTCTTGAAAATCATAAATATAAGGACTTCCAATTATCGTAAATAACTAATTAAGACTACGAAATTAAATTTTAAGACCATGATCCTTTTTTATAATTTTAAAAATAATAATTTGATTAAAATGCAGCTATCTAAAATGCCAACTTAAAATTCACTAGCATTAAAATCATTTTAATTAGGTTGTAAATTTAGTTTAAGGAAATTATAAAATTACTTTATTTAAATTGAAAATGTTTTTACTCCCATACTTGATTTTAAGTAGCTTAAAATTTGTTAATGCTGAAATCACTTTAATTAAATTGAAAATTTAGTTGAAAGGGGATATGAAATCACTTTATTTAAATTAGATAATGTTTTATTTCTAGACTTGCAAACATGGTCACCAGGGGTATTTTAGTCAAATTATTATTTTTAAAACTATAAAAAAATTATGATTCTAAATTTCATAATTCCATGGTCCTGATTTGTTATTTATGATAATCAAAAGTCTTTATTTATAATTTTTTTCCCCTAAAAATCATAACCAAGTAGACGTTTTGTCATCTCATATAGTTGGAATAATCCCGTAGCTTTTGACATGCCTAAATCACATGATTTAGTCATGGGCAAAGTAACCAACATTTTTTAAATGTTTCAAACTAAAATTTAAATAAAAAATTATAATTTCTTCCTAACCACTAAACACATTTTTCAATGATATTTTATTTAAATTTGAGTAATATGATTGTAGAATTTGATTATAATGGCCTTATATCCTTTTTTTTAAACTAGAAATAAAACCCTAACATCTTGATAAAGCTATTTAATGAGCCCTCTAGGTGATTCTCTAGAACTCTAAACTCACATTCTTGATTCAGCCTAGATTTTGCAAGCTAATCAAACTTGCAGACCCTTGGTTGCCTCCTACATGCCATTGATATTAGGCATATTTGTATTTTAATTAGATATAATTGATTATGAAAAAATTGATACTAAATGATTTTTATTATAATTAATTATGCTATAACGTGATTATGTTTGGATATTTTTTTTGAAAATTAATTTTATATGTAAAAATTACAATGAAGGAAATTATCTTTTAAGATGTAAATATTAATATAATTATATGTAATATTATTAAATTTGTTAAATTCAATTTGACAAAAAAATTTGCGTAATAGTGATCCAGTTAATATTTATATAATATTTAACATATATATAATTTCAGTAATTAATATTAATATTATATTGTAATATTATGGAGTCTTGTTAATGCAAAAAGAAACTTTAGGTTTGTTTGGGTAGCCCTCAACAGTACATTCAAATCACATCTAGGATATATTTATGTCATATCTAACAAATAGTTAAATTTTTTAAATGTACTTTTGTTAAATGTAAATTCAAATTCAAATGAGCACTCCATTTCATAGTGCTGTGTGATGAGAGGAATAAGAGATAGATACAAATCTATAAGACAAGTACGAATTTTGGCACATAACAAATGAGTCGAGCAGATAGAATTGAAAATCAAAAGTTACCCCAAATTGCGTAGAACATAATGGAGTTTTAGGATGAAAAATTGATTAAAAAAAATATGGGTGTTGGGGTTCTTTTACTAAAACCATGGTTATTGACATATAATTAATTAAGTATCCGTTTGAATTTTAGTTGGGTATAATAAATTATAAAAATAATTAATTAAGTGGTAGATTTTAATTATAATTGATTATGTTCTAACGTAATTTGCTTTGATGCTATTTTTGTAAAATTAATTTTAACAGAATTGAAGATGTTTAGATAATTTTTTAGAATTAATTTTAGTTGTATACATTACTATAAAGGATATTACTTTTTAAAATTAAATTATTGATAAATTTGTATCTAATATTATTAAAGTTGTTCCATTTTATTTAAAAGGTAAAATATATTATTTAAACTACATATATGATTAATTATAAAAATTTAAATTATATTAATATTAACAATTTAATTTACGTAAATTTTGGCAATATAGAAAATGTAACAATATCACAAATGATGCAAAATCTCTCTCTTTAAACTTTTGCAATAATCTTTGTCATGACTCTAAATTTTAACTTAATTTTTCTCTATTAATTAATATTTTATTTGAATTAGTGAAGAGGGATGGTTGATAAAAACTTATGCTAACAATTTTTTTGAGAATATAAAGTTTAAATTTTATTAAGACAAAAAAAGAGAAGAGAACAGAGTTTGATTTTATTTTTATTAAATTATGTGCTTTCTTTGTAATTTTTTCTTGAGTCTTTCTTTATAATTTTTTTCAATATTTTTGGTTAGCTATCATGCAAAAGCTCAGTTTCCCAGCTTCCAAAAGAAAAAAATTGATCTTTAAGCCAAAAATATTTTACTCATAAAATATGTGTTTGGATAATTTTAATTTTTAATTGATTAAAAACGTTATCCAAACACACGCTGAAAATGACTATCCAAACAACCACGTTAAGCATGACCCAAAGCTAATTAGCCTTGTACTTTATTTCAACAACGTGTGTTTGGGAATCCATTTGGAGAGTACCAAACACAAAGTTTCCAAAAATTTGATTATAATCATTTTGGCGAAAATAGAAGAAGATAATAATAAACGTATTGAAGGTTTAAAATGTTTTCCCAAACATGCCCGTTATTCTTCTCGCCAATTTTTTTTTTTTGGAAGAATGATAAAAAAAATCTCAAAAGGATTAATAAATTTAAATTAAATCCCAAGCTTCAAACTTTAGAAATTTACAATTTAATCTCTTAATTTTATAATTGTGTTGGGATGAATTTATAATTTGTAATTGAGAAATTGAGTTGTAAATTCTTAAAATTTAGAGTTTGGGATCTAACTTAAATTAATTAATTCTTTTGAGATCTCTTTATCATTTTTCTTTTTGTTTTTTTTTGGACAGATTCTTGCCAAAATTGAAGAAGTCTTTTGTATGGGAGATGATTCTAGATTTTTTTTTTTTAGTTAGTGGTTTTTCTTTGTATGCTCCTTTTTTTTTAATTTTTGTAAAACTTTAATACCCACTTCATTAAAAAATATAAAGCATATTTTGAGGTATTAGATGTTAGAAAATGTAAAGTATTTTCAATATTTTAAGGTATAATTAATATATTTTTTTCTAAAAATGTCTTTAATAAATAAATCAATTTATATTTATTTTTAAATGAAACATCCCATTCAATAAAAGTAAATATGAAAAGATAATATTAATTTAAAAATGATTAATTAATTTATTGAGATAAAATTTAATTAAAAATGTTTCATATTTTTTCAATAGATATAAGGCCACAGACAAAGACAGGTTAAATATGAATAAAAGCAGCTCTTTTAATTTTTTATATGATTAAATGGATCTAAATTCCAAAAAATGTGCATAAACAAGACCTAACTTTTTTTTTTGGGTGAAAAGCTCATCCGATTAGTACCAATGCTTAATGATTTTTCATAATTTATACATAATTCTGTTTACAATAAATTTATTAATTCTTAATTCTTAATAATTTGATATAAATATATTGATTGATATTTTAGATTGAGATTAGCAAAATAAAAAAAAAAAGATTTGCATCAAAAAGAAAATCTGGCATCGGCAAAGAAGTACAATCCTGTTGGACTGCATTTCCGTGATAAGGATGGCCGAGTCCAAAGATGCTGACGTGGGCCCTTACCATTTGTTTTCATTTTCAGATAAAAATAATAATAAATTTATTTGCCAAAGACCCGAAGATACAGATATTAACCTTCACATCCCATCATTCGCGAGGCGATGAACCGATTGAAGCATAAAGCCTAAAAGGCAACATCCAATCCTTAACCCTAATGCTTGTGTGATAATCATTCCTGGTTTTTGATTTGATTGATTTGTTGGCTTCTTTAATTATGGCATCTGAGAGCGCTTCTCGATCTAGTTCCGCCGCCGATTCTTATGTTGGCAGTTTGATAAGCTTGACCTCCAAGAGTGAGATCAGATATGAAGGCATACTGTACAATATTAACACCGACGAGTCCAGTATTGGGCTCAGAAATGGTATTTCTTTTTAACTCTTGTGTGAATTTGTCGCTGATTTCATCTGGTTCCGATTCATTTTCAACTCAATTTGGGCTTGTCAGTTTGAGATCTTTGAAGTTATGGCTAATGTTTGTTTATCTTGCTCAGAATTATTTATTTCCTTTTCAAACCTGTTTTATGGCTAATGTTTCTGACCCTTGTCTGTGTGTTTTCTTTGGGGAAAAAAATTAGGGGGTCTAATTGTATTTCACTGGCATCACGGTTGCATTTTTTATGATGAGCTGATGGTCCCTGTGCGTGAATTTGAATCGGAATGCTTCTTGTCTACTGCCCTTCAGTCAGTTTTCTTTATTTTATGTTTTCTTTTGTTTGTGACTTAATGTTGGGAAATCTTTTTCCTGACTAATCTAGCTTCGGAGGGTTTTGGCATTGTGTTTCTTTTGGTTTTTGCATACTATTCTCACTGATCAGTGAATGATGAACTTGTGTATTTGTTGTTCACTCTCTTATCATTTTGTTCATCTCTGTTTGGTATTTGCTTATATGACTTGCTATAGTGGTAGGAATATGTTGTTAGTGATGTACATTAGAAAATGAAGGTGATGGCTAACTCCGCCCTTAAGAGTCCTTTCCTTAGCAGCAGCCACGAGGACTTGAATTTGAATCTTAACTTCACCAGAGTTAGGAGTGAAGAGGTTACCTCTAGTTCAGTCACTTTAGTGACCTGCACTAATGACGAAGGAACTGATTTTTATTTTTTTTTTAAGTTTAAATTGACGTTATTGTTTAGAGTTAGACTATTTTAATTATATTGAACTTGTTTTCCTTTCTGTTAGTGTATGAAATTGGAAGTTTATGAATTTCATTTGAAGTTCTTCCGTTCCTTCAGGTTTTTGCTCAGTCTCATAGGCAGCCATTTAAGAGAAATAAAATGCTTTCTTAGGAATAACTAATTCTGTGGGTTTTCTTGCCGTCTTCAATTATAATCAATCAAAACATGGGATATGCGATTTATTCATCACTTTGCTTCCATCATGAGAAGCATGAATAGTCCCACAAACATGTTGACATGACAACAAGCTGTCGGTTGGACTCTGTATTTGAAATGTCTGGATTTATGGGCTATATCTGTGCCAACAAGCTGTCAGTTGATTGACAACTGATGTTGTCATCATGCAGAAGCACCAGATATCTAGCTGCCAGAATTAAATTTGGGAAAAGAAACCTCTATGTATATAAGTTGATGCTTTGATAATGGAAAAAAATGAAAATGTTAATGGCTAATCATGTAGGTTGGCATGTTTTTCTGTTTGATTGTATATTTAGTGAGGCCTTCTGGTTCAGTGGACCACAATTGGTGTGTAACTTATGTGGGGGGATTTCTTTTAACAATTTGGATGATTCCTGCTCCAAACACTGTTGGCTTATTTCAAGACCCTCACGTCACTTGAGGCTTATTCATATGCTTAATGGTGTATACAGTTATTGTTGTCCACTGACTCTTTTGTGTTTGTGTGGCAGTGCGATCATTCGGAACAGAGGGGAGGAAAAAGGATGGTCCACAAATTCCTCCAGGAGACAAGGTGTATGAGTATATACTGTTTCGTGGGAGCGACATTAAGGTATCCCATGAGGAACACAACCAAATAATTTTTTTCTTCAAACTCATTATGCTTTTAGTTTTCTATAGGACATTCTGCTAATGGTGTTTGATGTTTTTATGGTAATTTTCCTTGAGAGGCATGCCATTCATGTCATTTCAATACTAGGTCATTTTAATGCAAATCCAGATGCTCTCTGTCTTTTTATAATCATTTTGTGACACAGGCTTCGTCTAGAAGTTAATTCTGCAGATTCTGAGCCTTTGATTATTTCTTCAGTATATTATCATGAGGCTCATCAGCTGATATATCTGCTATTCTTTTCCCACAGGATTTACAGGTTAAATCTTCTCCACCTGTACATCCTACTCCACCAATCAACAATGACCCAGCTATTATTCAGGTAAATGAGAGGTTTTTGACATACACAAGGCCAAAGTAACAAAGATGCCCCCTAATGTTATGAAATGGCTCTTGCAGTCTCACTATCCTCGCCCAGTCACCACATCTACCAGCTTACCTTCTTCAGGAAGTGGCCCTTTGAATGATCTTAATTCCCATACAAGTCAGCTTGGAATGCCTGGGACAAATTTTCCTGGGCCCTTGCCTTTGTATCAACCTGGAGGGAACCAGGGATCATGGGGAGCTTCACCGGCTGCCCCAAATGCAAATGGTGGTGGTCTTGCTATGCCAATGTATTGGCCAGGATATTATGGTGCCCCAAATGGCCTTCCTCATATACCCCAGCAGTCTTTGCTTCGACCACCTCCTGGCTTATCGATGCCTTCTTCAATGCAGCAGCCAATTCAGTATACCAATTTTAACGCCGCTCTGCCAACTGGATCTTCAACTTTGCCAGAACTCCCACTGTCTTTAGTCTCTGCAAGTTCTAGTTCCCCTATTGTAACATCTGCTTCTTTACCACAACCAAATCTGGCATCAACTTTACCACCAGTACCTTCTACTGCATTAGCTTCTGAAACCTTGCCCATATCAATGCCAAACAAGGCACCTACTATTTCGCTTGTAACAGCCACGCTTGCAGCTAACTTACCATCATTGACTCCTTTGGTCGCTTCCAGTCTAGATGTAAATGCTATAGTGCCACCAATCTCCAACAAACCTAATGCAGCTTCAAGTTCAAGCTTGCCGTATCAAACTGTATCCCAATTGACACCTGCCAATGTTGGGACAAATTCTGTCCGTGCAGAAACAACCACCCCTTCTCTGGTAACACCGGGTCAATTATTGCAGTCTGGACCAAGCATAGTTTCTCCATCTACTTCTGTGCAGACCTCCCATAAGGATGTTGAAGTGGTTGAGGTTTCATCAACGTCATCTCCAGATCTTACTGCGCCAGTTTCTGCTGAAAATCAACCCCCCATACTGCCATTGCCAGTGACCTCACGACCAACTCATAGGGTATTCTTCTTTTGCTCCTTATGACTTGTGCATACACAACTATATGCAGATAGAATTTGGTCTTGCATGTTCTTGTATGTTTGTATGCAATGGTAGACTGGAGAATTGTTACTGAGCTCCATTATCTTCTTGTCATCTTTGGCTACTTGATTAAACTGTCACTTAGAGCTAATATTTGGCAGGGTACTGTGTATTCTGTGAACTAGTGTCTGTTCAAATCGGTAATTTATGTTTTTTTTTCTTTAGTTTGGATAATCTCTCTTTTCTTCACTGTATTTTATCCTTCTGTTCCTTGGTTTGAATTTGAAGTAGGATTTGTCTGGATTGATTTCTTGTTTTTTTGCAAGCATAGTGACTGATATGTGCCACTTTCAATGCATATATTTTTAAACATTCTGACCTGTTTCATTCATATATAGAAATACAATATGACTGGATGAGCACTTTTATCACATCGAATTCTCTTCCCATCTCACCCTGTTTTAATTTCAAGGACTGACATTTTGGTTGCACTTTCTTCAGCCTAGTGGGTGTGCTCAAAGTTATCAGCATCATAGTTATGGTTACAGGGGTCGTGGAAGAGGAAGAGGAACTGGGGTATGCTGCTTGATCTACTTTTTAATTCTTTATAAATTGGGGATAACTGACCATACAAGTATCGAAATTAAAGCTTATTGGAATACTTGAAACTTCTAAGAGTGGGGGTTTCTTATTTTTTTTATTTGAGGTTTGACTCCTTCATCACTGTACCTTTGTCTAAGATGTGACTTTTTCCATTATTAGTGAATCAAAATTATGAACTGATGCTTACAGTATTTCTTGATGTGACTATATGAGATCTTTAATGGTTGAGCTACTTATGTGTTTCTTTCTCTTTAATGCTTGTTGAGCAATCCAGATGACATAAAGAGAGTTTACAAAAAACCTGCACTGGGGTTATTTCACTAATTTGAACTTTATTTGTTGGTTGAAATTGCTGATATTTGTGAGCCTGTACTATGATAGATGAGATTATAGAAGTTGAAACTAATGATATTGCAGGGTCCACGCCCAGTCACAAAATTTACTGAAGACTTTGATTTCACGGCAATGAATGAGAAGTTCAATAAGGATGAAGTATGGGGTCATCTTGGTAAAACCAACAAGTCACATTCAAAAGAAAAGGACGGGGAAGAAAATGTTAGCGATGTGGATGATGGTCAAGATGGTTACAATGGTGAAGAATCAAAAGTTGAGGTTAAGGTAGCATATCGTATTCAATATCTTGCATGCAACTTGAAGTTTGGTGGTTCGGTTTGTGTATTAAATCTTAAATATTAATTAATGGTCAGTGTTTCATTCTGCTTTTCATGATTTACGCAGGCTGTCTACAATAAGGATGATTTCTTCGACACACTCTCTTGCAACTCGCTTGACCATGATCAACATAATGGAAGGACTAGATATTCGGAACAAATTAAGATTGATACTGAGGTAAAAAGTTTATCTTGGTTTGGCATTTTTTTTGGGGAGAGTTTCAATTAAGGACCATGAATGAGACTTAATTACTGGTGGGCTCCAAAAAAATCTGAAATTTTTGTTTAGTCTAGTGAAATTAAAGTGGAAATAATTTCAACGGTGAAAAGATTAAATTACATTTCACTTGTTATGTAGAATCATTAGTTGTTAATTTCTTTACTTAATTTGTTAATTTATCGGTATGAATTGTAAATTACATCCGTTTGTCAAACAAGTCATGACATTAGTTATTAAATTATTAACTTTGCTTGTTATTGTAAATTACAATACAACAACAACAACAACAACAAGCCTTTATCCCACTAGGTGGGGTCGGCTACATGGATTGCAAGACGCCATTGTGCTCTATCATTTATTAAGCTTTTAGAAATATTATTAATTAAGAGATCACGTTCAACAACTTCCAAGAGTGTTCTCTTAGGCCTTCCTCTACCTCTCTTAATCGGACTCAAAGTTATATGTTCTACTCTTCTCACTGGTGCCTCCCTTGGTCTTCTTTGTACATGCCCAAACCATCTCAACCGATTTTCTACCATTTTTTCCTCAATAGGTGCCACCCTCACTTTTTCACGTATGTGCTCATTTCGAATTTTATCTTTACGTGTATGTCCGCACATCCATCGTAACATTCTCATCTCTGCTACTCCAACTTTATGCTCTTGCTGTCCCGTTAGAGCCCAGCATTCACTACTATATAACATTGCCGGTCTGATAGCAGTACGATAAAACTTAATAAATGATATCTATTAGTAAATTACAACTAATTTTAGTAAATTAACAAGTAAACATCAATTGTAAATTACAATATCTATTAGTAATTTACAACTAATTTTAGTAAATTAACAAGTAAAGTTAACAATTTAATAACTAGTATTGTTGATTGTGATTGAACAATTGATGTCAAATTTTGTATAATTATTGACATAAATTCATGTAATTTACAACTTTTATTATTAAATTAATAAGTGAGCCAAGAAAATTAACAACTAAGGATTTTGCATAACAAGTGAAGGGTAGATTGGTCTTTTCACTATTAAAATTATTTTCACTTTATTTCTCCTATGTTGAAGTTTCAAATTTTTTTGAGACCCACTAGTAATTAAGTCCCATCCATGGTCGTTAATTGAAATTTTCCCCATTTGTTTTTTCTTCTGGAGACACTGTTTGATATATTTTTCTCGTACATGTTGCAGACATTTGGTGATTTTATGAGGCATCGAGGTGGTCGAGGAGGCCGTGGTCTCTTACGTGGTGGTCGTTTTCGGGGCGGTTATTATGGGAGAGGATATGGTTATACACCAAGAGGAAGAGGACGTGGCATGTCAGGTCGTCCTTAGGTGTCTGTATGTGTTTGAGACCTCAAGTTTCGCGGGCAAAAGTCACTTGCTAAAGTAGCAAATTATCTCGAGGCTATGCTGCAATATCTGTTATATCTGGTTTCTGTTTTTTCCGCTCAATAAGTAGGACATTGTCTTATCTCTTCATTTGCCCACTTTTGTTAACCATGCCCTGAAGCATCTGGTTCGGTGGAAAGAATTTTACACCATTTTTATTTTAGCGAATCAAGAAGGTAAAAGATTAGACTAGTTTCTTTGGGATATACGTGTTGTTAAGAAATGTAAGCAAATCAGAGCAGACATATTTTGCATTGTAAATGCAAGGTCACCTTTTTTAGGCATGCGATTGACTTGTGACAATTTGGTTTCTTGTGTTATGCCTTGTATTAATGGAAAATTTATGAAGTGGGACATGTACGTGTATGCTTAGGTTTTGCAAATTTGTAACTTCCAATAACGCGTAATTCAATTACCCGAAGTTTGTAAATGACAAATTATGCGAAGTGACAGTTGATGATACTCGCTCAGGTCATATTTCATGTTGGTGCGAGAAAACTCTTTGTTAATGTATATGTATATATTTTCAATAAGCATACATTTAGAAACTTACTAAATTGTTAGAGAGAATTAATGAGTTTTAAATTTTTTTTTTTAATCTCTATAATAGGTAAGTAACTTGTACATTTTTGTTTTGGGTAAAAACCTGTAAAAAGGCTAGGGGAAGTATATGTAAATTTCCGGTCCTCTTTTTTTTTTTTTTTTAAATTTTGACTCTAATTAAATCTTGATCCTGCCATTGTGTCTTTGTAAGACTTTTAATCATTGTAACACATGTATTCCTTAACCTATTGCATTTGCATTCGAAGATATCGTGAGCATCTGAAAGCACTTTGATATCTGGTGTCATCACTATTCAAACTAAGAAATACAACAATTATTTGCCATATATGACTCAGCAATTTGCAGAACTTGTCATCATTATTTTCACCTTTCTGACTAATACATTTTCGAAGATTGGGACTTGAGTTTCTAACCCTTGCAAAATTCATATTTGCAAAAGCCACTGGATATAAGTCTAATAACAAAATCTAGCAAGTACATCTTGAAATTTGTGCAGGTAAATAGATAGATAGACAAATAGAAAGCTAGGTACTTCACTTGGAAATGCCAAGAAGGGGATCAATATATGGTGTGGGGATCAAACACAGATTATTTTTCCTTCTAGCTGTAGTGGCAAAAGTTTCAGTCATGTCTAAATCTTCTGGTTTCATCCCATTTGTGAGTTCCCAGTCAAAGTGGTACAATAAGCTAGCTAGAGGAAGCTCAATGCTTGCTAAACCAAATGAAATTCCTGGACACATTCTTCTTCCCGCTCCAAAAGGGATGTACTCAAAGTTTGTTCCTCTGAAATCAATATCAGAGTTTCCTTGGAACCTCTCTGGTATAAACCTCTCAGCATCATACCAGTAATTTGGATCTCTTCCAAGTGCCCATGCATTTATTATAACTTGAGTTTTGATGGGTATTTCATACCCATTAATCTGACATGTTTCTCTGCATTCTCTTGGGACCAATAAAGGAACTGGCGGGTGCAGCCTCAAAGTTTCTTTGATTACTGATTTTAAGTAACTAAGTTGTATCATGTCACTATCACCAATTACCTTCTTTCCTCTAAAAGCATTTCTAACCTCAGCTTGTGCCTTGTTCATCACTTTTGGATTTCTCATCATTTCTGACATGGCCCATTCTAATACTGTTGCTGAAGTATCAGTTCCACCACTAAACATATCCTGCAATAATTATGCAAGCAAAGATATCATTAGATTATCAAACCACATGCAGATCCAAGAAACTACCTTGTGTACTATGATAGACCAACATATATCGGTAAGTACTAAGTAGTACTAACCGAAATAACAGCTTTAATGTTGTCGGTTGTAATGGGGATGTCAAGACTTTCACTATGCTGAATTCTCAGAAGAACCTGAACAAGATTTTCTTCTCCCAAGGCACTCTGACCTGCTTCTGCTCTCATATACTTCTTTTGATTCTCCTGGAGAATATCCTCTAAAACCTTGTCAAATTTCTTGTGAATCTTCACTAGCTTTGCGTCCATTCCAATCATGAGATGAACAAGTTTCATTGAAGGAAACAAATCAGCAAACTGAAACCTGGCCAATTGTTCTAACGCTGTGTGGAGCAATTGCACAAGCTCTTCTCCATATTCACGCTCGTCTCCAAATGCTACCCTCCTAACTATAGAACTTGTTAAAGAGTAAACCTTGCTTGTAAGATCGAAAGCCGAACCTACTGATGATTGAATTGACTCGATCAGCTTAGATACCTGATAAAGATATATTGAAACTCACAAAATTTATTAAATATAGAAAATATGGATCTAATTATACTAGAATATATATATATATATATATAGATATCAGTACCTCATCTTGTCGTATACATGAGAAGGATTGAACTTTCTTGGCACTTAAGAGCTCAAGAGTACATATTTTTCTCATCTGTCTCCAGTAATCACCGTAAGGGGAAAAAGCAATATCAGTTGCTCCATAAGAAAGAATCTGAGCACTGAAAGTTTGAGGCCTCTGAACAAAGGCAAGATCATGGGTCTTCATGATCTCTTTAGCCAAATCAGGAGATGATATTATCACTGCAGAAATCTCACCAAGTTGAAGATGCATGAAAGGTCCGTGTTTGAGGGAAAGTTCTCGAAGGGCATGATGTGGAAGTGAATGGCTTGCTAGCTGGTGAAGGTTTCCCAGTATAGGAAGCTTCCATGGCCCTGGGATTTGGGTCTTTTTAGCTTTGTCTTTTGGCTTTGCGAGCCGAAGCAACAAGATCAGGAAGAGCAAGAGGAATGGAATAAGAAGTAAGAAAGAAAATTGGAATTCCATAAGGATTAGCTTCTAAAGTGTAAACTTGAAATTGATATATAGTTCAAACTACATTTCTGCGTGTCTAACAGAAATATCCAAACAAGTGAAGACTTTTGTTAAATTGCGGGGCCGCGTGGGGAGACTTTTATTGCGGAGACCAAACAAGCAAACTATTATATACTCCTTCGTTGAGAAATATAGGATATTTTTAATCAAATCTCACCTTCAATAAAGTAATTACTTACTTTTTAACTAACTTTATTTTTTTATATTTACCCCTATTAAACACTCTACAATGAATATAAAATCATTATTAATAGGGACACTTAAAAAAAAAGACAATGATTATACCTCAAAAGATTAAAAATATTTAATATTTTTTAACATTCAATTTTTTAAAAAATACTTTACATTTTTAAATGGAGGCAGTACATGTATTATTCTGATTGCTTTTTAGATGGTTTAAAAGTTGAATTAACTTGTCCTAAAGTTTTAAGTTCTATTTTCGAATATGTAATTTTGTTAAATAAATACATTAAAGGCATCCTGAGATGGTTATAAAACTGCCGTTGATGATAATGATTAATGAGAGCTCGAATTAGGTTGAGTGAAAGGGAAGAAAGAGACTGTTTTAAAGTGACAGGAAAAAAAAAACAGAGAGAGAGAGAGAGAGACAATTTTGAAAGGAAAGAATGCGGCCACTTTTTAGTTGATAGAGTGGTTGATAATAATTAATGACTTTTTAAGATCTATTTAACTGAATTATATTGATTAAGAAATTTGGTTAAAATTATTTGAGTATTTTGATTTTAAAAAAATTTACTGAATATTCCAAAACTACCCATTAATTTCACTATAATCTTATCCGTCTACAATTAGTGAAAGGCATTTTTTAAAATAACATAATAAATCCTACGATACTTATCGAGAAATATCTTATATCATGAAATATGAAAAACTCCTAAAATGCTAGCATATATTTATAAAAAAACAACTAAAGGAGAGTATAGTCTTTTTAGTTTTTTTAAAATATCAATACAAAATAACTTTTAGAAGGAATATAATATTTAATTCAAAATAAGTTATCTTGTAAAGTTAACTATTTTTTTCCAACTTTACTCTGACCTTATTCTAAAATATTTTATATTTATGACACGAGGAAGTACTATATGCGAGAAATGCGTGCATTCAATTATCCAATCACGTGGAAATAAAATATCCAATAATGTGTGGGTGAAACATGATAATATTTTCAAGTTTCTTAGTATATAGAGTGATAAAATTAAAAAAAAAATCCACATATTTTTTATCTCCTTAATATTTTTTATTCCATTTATAAATCATTTTTGACATATTTTATCAAAATCAACAAAGACTTTAAAATTTATTAACTCTAATTAAATGTTTAATAAACTTTAAACTTTATTAATGTTAAACATACATACTTTAAATGTAATGGTGAGAGGGCATGGTTTATGGCTGCAAGTTCTGAGAAGTCACCTTGGCATTTGAAAAAAACTCACATATTTTACGTCGGATTATTTCTTCCAAGCTAAACTCACTGAATCAAAGCCTTTTCTTTAATGGGGATGGCAAGTTATCCTAACGGATCTAAAGTTGAGAGAATAATTTTTATAATAAATGAGTTTAAAATTTATAATATTATTAGACTTTAAGTTTAGAAAATAATTTATTCATTTATCTTACAATTTGAGAAAGAGGTAGTATTTTTTAAGCAAAATAATAATTTTCAAGAGGTATCTATGACATTTTTTCCAAATTATTCTTCATTAAGTAATAGTATTATTAGATAAAAAATTAAAGATTCATCATAAAGGCATTTTAGTCTAAATATTTAATTTCAAATATAATTATTAAGATTCATTAACTTTTCTTAAATTCTGTGAGTAGATTGAAATTTGCTTATATATAATTATATGGTAAAGGTATAAATTTGGCTATCAATTATTTTTTTTAAGAATACTAAATAGCTTATATTATGAGGTGGTGTAAAATAAATTTTTAACTTTAAAAAATAAAGTATCTAGTAGCCTTCATTAATTTCACTCAATGAAAGTTAGGTGGGGCCTATAAAATTTGACTAAAAATGACATATTGCACTTCATCTCAGCATGTGAAAAAATAAAAATTTAGCCACAAATTATTTTTAAAAAAACATTAGATAGGCTCTACTATAAAAAAATGATCCTGTATCTTTCCTTCAATTTTAACCAAACATTGTTTATTTTAAAGCTTATGAGACCCACAATTAATCAATCTCTTCAATCTTCTTATCTTTGCTCTTAGTCTCAAGCTCAGCTTGAGAATAAGATATTCAAAAAGTTCTTACCTAAAGACATTTACAATGATGATACCAACAAAATAAAAGAAGACAAGATTTCATTTAAATCTATGTGGCAATTCAAGCAAAGTAGCAATTCGAATGT